AAATCCTAATTAAAAAAAAAAAATGTAATAAAAAAAAAAGAGAGTTTGTTTGTGTACTTCCACCAAGAACCAATTTTCATATTGATGAGGGCAATAATGCTCCTGTTGAGAATGCATATCTTAGGCCTAAGAGAATACTTGGAGGGAAAAAAAAAACCACTCTAAAATAAATATAAAACCCAGCCTTCACTAGATCATATTGATACACCAGTAATTGAACTGTCTGCTAGATAAAAACTCAACCCTATTCAGAGGAAGATAACAAAATCCAGAGTCTCTACAATGTGTCATTCATAATCTCTAGCATTCAATTAAAAAAAAGAAAAAAAGGGATGAAGTAGGAAGAAGACACCTACAACTAACAGGAAAAAGTAGACCCACAAATAAGGCAAATGTTGGAATTAACAGACAATGGCTTTAAAACAACTATTATAAACATGTCAAGCAAATTGTCACATTTGGTGGTGTAGTGCCTAAACCATTTGACCACTAACCAGAAGACAGGTGGTTCAAGCCCACCAGCCACTCCACAGAAGGAAGACTGGGCAATCTACTTTCATAAAGATTTGCCATCTTGGTGAGTAGCGACTGGTATCTCAAAAGCTAGCAAGCTGCCATCTAGATGCAACGATGGGTCTCTCCTCGTCCAGAGCAAAGAAGAATGAAGAAAACCAAAATTCATAGAGACAATTAGTCCTAGAGACTGGTACACCATCCGATCTGCAGCCTATACAGCTATGAGACCAGAAGAACTAGATGGTGCCTAGCTACCAATGTCATTCACATGGAAAGGGATCTATGTAGGAGATCCTGGATAGAGAGGGAGAACAATGTGGAACAAAACTCAAAATCATTTGCAGAAAAAAAAAAAAGGTGGGGACCAGGTTTGCTGGTCTGATAGAGCCTGGTGGAACCACTGAGACTATGGCCCCTAGCTGCCCTTCAGGTCTGGAATTGAACCCACACCTGTGGTTTCTAGCCAAACAAAATGCAGGCATGTGAGTTAAACATTTACCTCAAGTAGATACACGCGTTGGAGAGAACGATCATGGGAGAAAGAAGGGCTCCTTATGCACAGGGAGACAGCTCAGGGGGCAAGAATGTATGGAGGGATGGACACTGGGAAGAGGTAACTATGGGGAGGAAGTGAGAGGGGAGGTGTTGCATTGTTGGTAAACTGTGGTCAATGACACAAAACAAAGTATACGTGAACTGCTGTATGGAAAGTGAATTTGCTCTGTAAATCTTCACCCAAATCACAATTAAAAAATAAAAAAGATTTGCCACCTTGGAAACCCAAAGGGGATTGCTATGAGTTGGAATTGACTCGATGGCAGTGAGTTTGGGTTTGGTTTAGGGATACACAATAAGATGATGTGTTAACTTCTCCTCAAAAACTTTGGGAGCAAAGCAAAAGTGCTGAAAGAAAATAACTTAGAATTTTATATCCAGTAAAATGAAGACATTACCAGATAAACAAAAGCTGAGAGAGTTCATTATGACCAGACCTGCCCTACAAGAAAAGCAAAACAGGGTCCTTCAGATTGAAAGTAAAGGAAACAGCAGCTCAAAGTCACATGAAGAGAAAAAGATATCCAGTAATGGTAATTTCATGGACAGATATAAAAACCAGTTTTACGGTATTTTTTGTTTGTAACTCTACTAATTGTGTCCTACACAATTCAATGGCAAAGGCATAAAAATTATTAGCCCCAATAATAATTACACATATAAATGTGTAATTGTGACCACAATATTAATTAACATAGTATAGAAGTCGATTCTTGGTATTTATTGAAGTGAAATTGGTATCCATTAAACTAGGTTATTATAATGTTAGAAAGTTAAATGTAATCCCCATAACTACAAAGAAAAAATATGTATATATTTATATATACAAAACTCACTGTCCTGGAGTCGATTCTGACTCATAGCAACTCCTATTGGGTTTGGGAGGCAGTAAATCTTTATGGAAGTTGATTGCCTCGTCTTTCTTCCATGGAGAAGCTGGTTGGTTTGAACTGCCATTCTTCTGGTTAGCAGTCAAATACCTTAGGCTCTGAGCCACCAGAGCTCCTTACTTATACAAACACACACACACACACACAAGGAAATTAGAAGAGAATCAAAATGGCTTACTACAAAAAAAAATCAACATACAAAGAAGATAGTATGAAAGAAATGGATAAAAAAATGTACAAAATACACACACACACAAAGCAAAATGTCAGAAGTAAGTCCTCCCTTATCAATAGTTATTTTAAATGGAAATTTATTAAATTATCCAATCAAAAGGCAGATAGTGGCTGAATGGATTTTTAAAAAATGACTCATTAATATGCCATCTACAAGAGACACACGTTAGACCCAAAGATAAAAATAGTTGAAAGTGAAAGGATGGAAAAATATATTCCATGCAAATAGTAACCAAGAGAGCTGGAATGGCTATATTAGTATCAGACAAGAGACTTTAAGTCAAAATCTGTTAGATAAAGGACAGTATACATTGATAAAGGGTTATGGCACAGTGGATTGCTTTGTATGGCCCTTCTAGCTATGGTCTTTGCGACTTCCAGTAGATGACTGGGTGGGACTATGCAAATGTGAGGTACACTTGTGGCCCGCCAAGGTGATTGGATATCTTGCTAATAATGTAAAAAAGGTGCATGGCACCATACAAATAAGGATTATGGAACTCTAAAGTGGGAATTGGTCAGTTTTGCCATACCACCAGATTAAAATGAGCCATCCCAGAGGCAGAAAGGGGGGTATCTCACTATCGTCAAAAAAAAGTAGCCAGGAGTGGTGCACATCCTTTGAACCTGAGATCCCTGCACTGAACCTCTTTGATCCAGAACACAGAGAGCTGTAACACTGGAGATGGTGAGAGAGAAGGAGCAGTGGCAGAGAAATGACAGCAGCAGAACTAAGAGACTGGCATGAGATAGAACAGTGGGCTTGCCACCCCACAGTGCAAGAAAGCTAAGTGTCTTTGAGCAGGAGGCTTGCTAGTGGAGTGGGATGCCACTGGGCATTTATAAGCAGATAAAAACACTTGCCTGAGCAGAACAAAGGCCAAGGGGCTGCACAGTCAAGAGGCCAAGGGCCAGAGAGAGTGGCATGCCTGTGGGCACTGCTAAGAGGCTATCTTGCTTGAAGAACTGTGTCCTGAGACATTTCTGATCCTGAATTATAACTTGTTACTTCCCTAATACACCCCATAATTGTATTGTCTATGAGCTCCATGTGGCCATTACAATGAATTATCGAACCCAGCAGAGAAATACAGTACTGTGGGAGGGGCAGATGGTGTCCAAATTGGTAAAAAGGTTGGAGAGAGGAACCACGTCTAACTTCTGCCTCATAGCTATCAGCTTCAGGCTGATCTTGATCCTCCTTCTGCCTCCTGGAGTTAGAAGAGGTCAGATGCCTCCCCACAAACCATTTGTACAAGGGTCAATTCATCAAGAAGATGCAACAATTTTAAGCGCTTGTTAGATGCAAGAATGGCCAGACATTGTCTCATGTACTTTGGTCATGTTGTGAGAAGGGACCAGTCCCTGAAGAAGGATATCATGCTTAGTAAAGTAGAGGGTCAGTGAAAAAGGGGAAGACTCTCAATGAGATGGATTGGTACAGTGGCTGTGATAATGGGTGCAAGCACAGCAAAACTGTGATGGCACAGGACCAGGCATTGTTTCCTTCTGTCGCACATAAGGTCACTATGAGTTGGCACAACAGCCTGGTTCTTGAAGGAAGTCTGTGCACCAAAAGCAGATGTTTTATCCTCTACATGTTTGTTTCTCCCATCCCCCACCCATTCTAAACCATCTGCCCCCTTCCTCCTCCTTTAGAACATGAAATGAAAACACAAAAATCTCTTAAGCATTTTTTATTTCTCTGTTATTTGGTTTCCTACTTTGGTGCACATGAGCTGTGGCTGTATTTCACATGGAAGGTGACATTATCTCATACGACACGCCCCATAAAACAGAGCACACATAAATCACTCCAGCATGGTTTTGCTTCACCTGGCTGTTACTGCTGAAATCTCTATTTCTAAGAGCACACAAGAAAACATTCCTTTGAATCTACAGATGAACAAGGATAGGGGGAGAGGCAGTTGGATCTGCCAGGATGGGTGAGCCCAAAGAAAAGGGCCTCCGAGTGGCTATTTTCACAGACATGAATGACAGATGTAGAAGACACATACAAAATTCCAGAAAAGCAAAGGCAGCTGGGGAACACTCTGGAACTGACATGCTACCTCTCAGACCCCTCTGGCTTTCTCAGTCTCGACAGATCCTGAAATAAGCATGAAGGCCAAAGTTGACATAATATAGAAGCCAGTTCCAGGGCCTCAATCACTGAGTGAGCGCATTGTATTGCAGGGCCACCGTGCAGCCCAGGTGCCCCTCTCCTGGGTGGGAACACCGTGCCTCCCCTGCAATGGTCCCCTTGGCCAACCCTATGACAAGATACAGTCAGGCCTTGCCAAACCCTAAAATGTCTTGCCCTCAAAGGCCTGAAGATTGAAGGCAGTGTCCAGAAACTTCTTCAGTGACACTAGGTGAGTGTTCCTATTTCCTGTTGCTGGTGCAGCTGCTGGGTCACGGCCAACATACCTAGGGGAGGAAAGACAAGGTAAGAGGGGGCAGGGCCCAGCATTCTCCCACTGCATGCCCACCCTAGGACAGCAGAGTGGGAACCTGAGGAAGCTGTGGAACCTGACTTTCTGCCCCAGTAACATTCCCAATGAGCTGCAGCCCAGGGCAGACCCAGTTACCAACTATAGATCAAAGAGAGGCAGTTTTCCCCTCCATGCCACTGGACCCCAACAAAGACGGCCATGACCCAAAGGCTGCTGCATTTCTCGTGCTCCTCCCCTATCTTCTCAGGCACCATGAGGTGCCTTTAAATGCATCATGTCTTCCCCTATGACCATCCTGCCTGAGGCTCCAAGAGGCTAAGCAACTGGTCTAACCATGAAAGGTAGAAGGTTTGAGGAAGATTCTCTAACTCCATTCTGGTTGCAGAACAGCAACAAATGTTTGCTATTTATAAAGGTGATATTGCCAATCTTAATGCTGGATGGGAAAACTGATCTGTCAGTGATAGAGCAAAGGTAATGGGCCCAACTTCTCAGTTTTCAAATATATCCCAGAGAAGAACAATGGCTAGTTCTAAGCTACACAGCAAATGTGATGTGCAGAGCCTGGGTGGGACCAGGGGAACTTTTCCTGCCCTGGTGGCATGGGGGTGGGAGTGGCCTCAGGCCTGTCCTGTACCAGATGGGTCGTGCCCGGCTTAGGATGGTCATGAAGCGAGGGCTGATGTAGTCATAGTAGCCCATGTTCTTGTGCTCCTCCTGGCACCAGACCAGCTCTGCACCTTGGTACTTCTCTGCTTCTTGCTTGATCAGGTCGAAGGGGAATGGAGAGATCTGGGTTGACAGGAAAAAACAGGGGTTTAGCCAAGGGTAGGGTGGCATGTCCAGGGCTCAGCCCCCAGAGGAGAAGCCACAGGGCCCCCATCGGCCACCCCCACTGGGCCTGGTCCCGGGCCTGGCCATCTCTACATGTTGCTCACCACCATGGGCTGGAACCTGACTGTGCCCACAACTGTAGCTGGGTGAGGGGCTCAAGTGTACCTGCTCCAGGCGTGTGATGGCCACTTGCTCCTCCAGGCCCTGGCTGCTCCGCTCCTTTACCAAGTCATAGTACACCTTGCCCGTGCAGAAAATGAGCCGCTGCACCTGTCCAGGTGCCTGTGCTGCAGCCCCATCTTCAGGGATCACCCGCTGGAAGCTAGTTCCTTAGGGAATTGACAGAGCATCAACACCCAGAGGGGCAGTAGCACCCAGAGACACGTCAGCACCAGGGAGATATCAGTACCTGGTGGGGGAGCAGCAACACCCAGAAGAACATCCCCACCCATCGGGACACCAGCACCAAGAGGGACACCAGCACCCAGAGAAGCACCAGCACCCAGAGAGGTACCAGCACCCAAAACACCAGCACCTGCATCCCCAGCATCCTCAGGCTCTCCCTGGCTCAGTTTTACATCTGTGGCTACAGTGGGCACCCTTGAGCCAAAAGATGGAATAGGGGACAAATGACACTCTGAGATGTCACAGGGAGAAGGGTAAAGACAGGGGCTGTAGCCAAATCAGAGCCCTGGGGAGCATCAATGTATTAGGTTATAGTTGGAGGATGACAGAGAGGCCTGGGAAGGAGAGAAAGAAAGATGTAAGGACACACCCTTACCTAACAACATTGTTACCAACCCCAAACTCCCACTCAGCTGTGTCCATCTCCTAAAGGGTCACACCAGCCCCTCAATCTCCATAGTAGTCTCATCTCCCTCAGCCCCTGCAGTCAAGCCACCATCTCAAAAGCTGTCAATTTTTACTTCTAAAACTTAACAGGCACTTCCTAAGTTCACACTGCATGCCAGGTGCCATGCCAGGCATGGAATAAAAACATGTGAGGAAACTACTTATGCCCTCCCACCTCAGAAGAGGACATCAAGGCCAAGTGAGGCCAGGTGGTCCAATCCCAAAGCACAGCTCTTACCTGCCCATGTCAGCAAAGAACTCTGATGCAGACAGGCTGGAACAAACCTCTGTTCATGAGCTAAGGCCCTGCCTGGCCAGTCTGCTCCCACTGCCCATGGATTACACTCTCAGGCAGCTTTGCTCCCTGAGTTTCAGGGACTCTTGCTCCCCTTGACACTCCAGCTGGTCCATATTTCATCACCTTTAGACTCTCAATTCCAACACCAGTTCTTTAGGTGCTTCATCTGACCCTGACCCCCAGGTAAACTAAGCTAAGAGATCTTGGAGGGGCACTGGATCTTGAAGGCCAGTCATATCGATGACTGCAAAAATGGATGAATGAATAAATGATCCTCAATTCTTCTACAACTCCCCTCCCCCTCCCCCCCCCAAAAAAAACCTAGGCAGACCTTCACCAGGCCTCCTGCCTCTGAGCTTCCCTGCCCTGCTAGTGGCTTCTGAGAGGCCCAGGTGCACTCCTCTTGCCCCAGTGTCCAGCCCAAATGACCACAGCCTGGACCAGGCCAGTTGGCCACCATGTCAAACTCCACCTCTGCATAGCCAGCAGCTGAAGACAGAGGGTAGGAGAAAAGAACTCCAGGAACTGAGGCTGGGCTGTGGACTACCAGGCCCCAGGTTGGAGGTCCCCCCAAAGTAAGCCACTTCCTGCCCCAGTTACATACCAGACACCATCTGGTCAAAGCTGGACTTGGCTTCCGGGTGCCTCAGCAGAGATTTGGGTGTGAAGATAATCAGCTGGAAGGGAAACAGGCACCCAGCTGCCATCTCTCCCCACCTGGCCCAGGGGCTCTTTCTTTGGTCCTTGCAATGGGAGTAAGGAAGACTCACAGGCTTGCGGAAGGGCAGCAGGATCTGCCGGCGCAGCACATGGAAGTAGCTGGCTGGTGTGGAGCAGTTGACTACAATCCAGTTGCAGTCATAGAGCTGTCTCACCTCGAAGTCCTTGGTGAATGCCTGAGGGAATGGGGATAAGGCTAGGTGCAGTGCCCTGCAATGCCCCATGCCCTGGGCCCATTGGGCACAGCAAGACAGGTGCCAGTCATGGGGGACTGCAGGAAGCACTCACAGGGTAGGCATCCGAGTCATCATTGCTCATCTGCAGGAACCTCTCAGGCCTTGCTGAGGAGTGCTCCGGGCCCTGAAATACATACCAGGTGCCTTGGGCCAGCCTGAGTGGCGTCAGTCATATTCTGACCTTGCAGGGACTCTGGGGGCAGGGAGGGCAGGGGTGCCTGGAGGAGTCTGGGAAGTCTTCCCAGGGGAGGTGACTGTGAAAGGAGGATACCCTCAAAGGGGGCATGGCCAGAGCCCATGTGCATGCACTATGAATGCATGGGACAAGAGGAAAATGTGAAAAGACCTTCCATCAGAGAGGACCTCCACCCCAAGGACCCCACACCACAAGAATCAGCCAGACCAGACCAATCCTTCCCACACAGCCTAGCTCAAGCTCCACCTCCTGAGAAGCTGGCCCTTATAGTTATGAGACCCTGGACAAGTCACTTCACTTCTCTGTGCCTCAGTCTCCTCACATGTAACACAGGAAATAACAGTTTTGACCCCCTGGACTCATAAGGATTGTACCACACAGACACATGAAATGCTTAGAATAACAAGTGCCTGGTTTGTAACAAGCCATTCAGAGATGATGGAAATTATGATCTGCTGACCAAATAACTGGTCCAAGCTGAGCAGGACCTCACAGACCACCTTTGCAGCTGACAGTCTAGGTCTAGGTTGGTCTTGGCTATGGTCACATGGTCAGTAGTGGCCAACTGCCTTGTACCCGTGCTTGCAGATGACTCAGCCTCATGCCCCTTCCTGTCATCCCCTGCCTGCCCAGTCAGGTTGCACTCCCACCCTGTGGCCCCATGGGATACTCTGCGCCTCCTCCCCTCCCCCATTAGCCCAGGAGCCTCCACCGGCGGCCCCAGCATACACATCATCATGTGTGGCTCCACAGGTTAGGCACACCAGAAAAGACCAGAAGGCAAGCATAGAACAATCAGAAGTTCAAATTCTGGCTACTAGCTATGTGACCCTGGGCAAGCTACTCCACTGCTCTGTGCCTCAGTTTCCTCATCTGGAAAGAGACAACAGTATCTCCTTCAAGTTGTTGTAAGGATTGAGAGAGTTAATACATAACCAGTTGCCACTGAGTTTACCCTGAGTCATGGTGACCCCATGTGTGTCAGAGCAGAACTGTGCCCCATAGGATTTTCAATGGTTGAGTTTTCAGAAAAGGATCACCAGGTCTTTCTTCCAAGGTACTTCTGGGTGGACTTGAACCTCTAACCTTTTTAGCAGTCTAGCACATTAACTGCTTGCCCACCCAGGGACTCCAAAATACATCACATAGAGCATGCTAAAAGTGCTAGTACCCATGGATATATACAGGCTTGGCAGAGGATATTTCTACATATTTTTATGTGCTACAAATATATCCATCTATGGTAGAGCATACTAGAGGCAAAGTTATGAAAACTTCTTAGCCATATCAAATATCTAGAAGAAACAAGTCACTGAGATTGGGGATTTAGGACCAAATTCTCAGGGGACATCTAAGTCAATTGGCATAACATAGTCCACAAAGACAATGTTCTATATCCCACTATTTGAGTAGTGACTGGGGTCTTAAAAGCTTGCAAGTAGCCATCTAGGATGCAACTATTGGTTTCTCCCAATCTGAAGCAAAGAAGAGTGAAGAAAATCAAAGATGCAAGGAAACAGTTAGTTCAAAGGACTAATGGACCATGCAAATAACAGCCTCCTCTACCCTGACACCAGAAGAACTAGACAGTGTCCAGCTACCACTACCAATCAACTACTGGTTCCTTCCAATCTGAAGCAAAGAAGAGTGAAGAAAATCAAAGATACAAGTTAGTATTAGAGGTATTGATTAGAGGACTAATGGACCATGCAAACAACAACTAGACAATGTCCAGGTACCATTACCAACCACTCTGACTGGGGTCACAAAAAAAGGTCTTGGATAGAGTGGGAGAAAAATGTGGAACAAAACTCAAAATCATAAAAAAGACCAAACTTACTGTCTGATAGAGACTGATGAAATACCTGAGACTCTGGCCTTTAAACACTTGAAGCCTGGAACTGAACTCACCCCCAGGGATTAACTTCCAGACAAATGATAGACAGCCTATAAAGTGACCATGCACTCCTTAGAATAATCAACCATATGAGACCAAAAGAGCAGCATTTGCCCAAAATCAAATCTCAAAAGGCAGAAAGGGGCAGGAAAGAAGGACAAATGGAAATGAGGAACACAGGGAGGAAGTGGGAAGAGTGCCATTATATTGTGGGGATTGTAGTCAATGTTATGAAACAAAATTGTTGAAAGGAAAATTAATTTGTTCTGTAAACTTTCACCCAAACCACAATAAAAAGTTAGAAATAAACAAATAAGTAAAAGTGCTGGCATAGAATAAACCCTTGATGCTATTATCACTTCTATTACTATTATTTTTAGCATCCCCCCAGCATCACCGTGGCCCTCACCATGCCCTCCATGCCGTGAGGTAGCAGCAGTACGATGCCATTGTGCCGTACCCACTTGGCTTGGCCAGTGCTGATGAACTGGTCGATGATGCACTGGGCCGTGTTGTGGAAGTCACCAAACTGAGCCTCCCAGAGGACCAGGGCATTGGGGCTGGCCATGGCGTAGCCCAGCTCAAAGCCTAAACAGAAGATACCAAACTGGAGCCTGCCACATACTGTCACCAGATAGTACCTTCCCTGCCCTTGCTCACCCTTCCCAATGGGCCAGAAAGAGCCCATGGAGTCCTGGGGGCTTAAATGCCAGGATCTCTCAACATGCCAGGAGACACCACCCTCAGCCCTGACCCTAAGCATGGCCAGGATCAACCATGTCTAGACCAGGAGTCAAGTCCAAAGACAGCCTAAGGAGACAACAGGGAACATCTAACAATACAAGCCCTCATAATGTGCCGAACAGTTGAGGGGAATGGACAGGGACAGCTCCACAGGTAACTGCCGATTTGGAGGGAAACTCCCAGAGGGGCTGGTAAAGAAGGAGGAGTGGGCCAGCCAGTGGTTGTGCCAAAGGGGCCTGGTCTGGAAGGCAGCCCAGAATCAGAGAGAAGACCCCAAGGCAGGGCTGCTGGGGTACAGGGCAGAGGCAGCAAGATGTGAACTCAGGAACATAGGCAGAGAAGCCAAGTCAGGAATGGCTAGTCTCAGGGCCAGCTGGTGCCTTGTCCCATGGTAGATTCTAGGAGGCTTTCTGTATGGCCTACTGAGGCCAGTACCCAGAGCATGAACTTATCAGAGCACCACCCAGGCAGGCAGGACCACTCCCTAAGTTTCCCTGCAGGGGCCGGATGGGACAGGAATCATCTCCAAGGTGACCTTAGCCCCAGAAATCACTGCAAGCTCTGGTGAGGGCAGCCTGGCCACTGGGTCCACCCCAGGGCTTCTGTGGTTCCTCCCAAGCCCTGACCTGATCCCTCTCAGCCCTAGGTCAAAGATATGGCCAAAACAACACAGATGGGCCGAGACCCTCTCTAGCTCCCAGGTATCTCAGGACCCACAGACCTGTGGGCAGAGCTGTGACCTACCCAAGACCCCGTATTCCGAGAGGGAGCTATTGCACACTGTGTAGGGGGCCTGATCAGGCCAGAGATGGTTCATGGGGACACACGTCCTCCGGTCAACATCCTGGTCATGGAGAACATGGTGCCGGTGGCTGGAGAGAGAAGGATGGATGAGCAGAAGGACAGGCAAGGCCCACACCATCTGAGCAAAGTAGCCATGCTATGCTCTCAGCTGGGACACAGCTAGCCCATCACTGGGCTGGAAAGCCTGGCCAGAGTCACCATAGGATGGAGATGCCAGGAAGGCCTTAGAAAGCCAGGGTCAGCTGGTCTGCTCCTCCAGGTAGCCTCTCCTCTGAGCTACATGGTTCAGTGGAGGGCCTGAGCCCTGCTTTCCACTGCCAGGGGGCCACAGCCAATAGACCAGGGTCCTAGAGAACAAACTTCAAGTTGCTGCCTCTCCCTGAGCCTCAGCCCTTGCACAGAGAGCCTGATAAGACCTGCCCTGCCGTGAGGAGCTGAGACAGTCTGCTAGCCCTGGAATGCCCTCACCAGTCCTGCCCCACCCAGGCTCACACAGGAAAGGCCACCTGGCTGAACTCTCAGCCCTGGCAGGATTGATGGGCAGTGCAGTGGAGTGGCCTCCACCCTGGTTAGGACAGCATCAGCAGCAATGAGTGACCAGGTATGAGAGATGCAGCTTGTCAAAATCTGGAAGCCACAACACCATGATTCATTGACAGGGCAGTGACAGTGTCAGGATCTGACACATCTGGGGAAATGTGATGGGACATGTTGACAAACATCTTCCCCCATCTGGATTTAAAAACTAAATTGCAAACAAGTAAGATAGGGAGAGCTGGCTTGACAGTAATACACACACACACACACAAATGATACTGGGGACTTTAAAGGACTAAAAGCTTACTATCAATCACTGTCTTGGGCCAAGTGGTCAGCTCTGGTCCCCTGGGGGTGAGGGTGGTGGCCCACACAGTGGCACTTTGATGACTTAGCTCAGCCAGAAACCAGCCCTCCTGTAGCTCCCAAATAAGGTCAGGGAAAAGGAGAAAGGGTGGCTTCCACTCTGCAGGCCCCTTTGCTGACTCTGGAAGACCCCAAGCACAGTTCCAACCTCTCAGTTCTCCCACCTGCTCATTGAAGGCAACAAAAGTGGGGGACAGTCCTGCCCTCACCTGAACGTTCCCCTCTCCACATCCTGCCCACTCAGCCGCACGTGGATGCCCTCCTGAAGGAGGGAGCCGAAGGCCATGTACTCTGCCAGTGCCCAGTCCACTGTCCGCTTCTTGGTCATGTCCGCTCGGCCCCGTAGGATGCGAGAAAGGCCTGCAGGAGGCAAGTGCTGACCAAGGGCCATGAGGGCCTGGCCATCTACCCTGGACAGCAGCAGCACCAAGGCCCTGGGGTGGGTGCAGATAGACTCGAGCATACCCCCACACAGAGCAGGACCTTGGCAGGCAGTGGCCAGGTGACCCTCCCCCCAACAGTCCCTACCCCAGCCTCCAGCCAATACAACAGTCTGCTCCTTAAGCCCACCATTGTCCAGCCTCCTTATTCACCCCCATGGGAAGAAACAGCAAGTACTCCTCAGTACCAGGCATTGTTCTAAGGGTTCACAGGCACTGAGTCATGCATTCCTCCCAACAGCCCTCTCATGACAACCTCAAGCATGTCAGAGTAGAATTGTACTCCATAGGGTTTTCAATGGCTGATTTTTCAAAAGTAGATCACCAGGCTTCTGGATGGACTTGAACCTCCAAACTTTCAGTTACCAGTTGAGCACATTAACTGTTTGCACCACCCAAGGACTCCCTCTAGAGTAAGTGCTATTATAATGTCCCTTCTCTAGAGGCTCAGAAAAGTTCAGTTAAGTGGCTCAAGGTTGCACAGCTATCATGGTACCTGGATCTGTGTCCTGTATGCACCTTGGTGGGGCAAGACCAAGGACCTAGGGCAGATGGACTCAGGCACACCCCACACAAAGCAAGGCCATGGCGGTCTGGAGAGCCCAACACTAGGTGCCTCTACCTCCCAGCAACCTTCACTTCAGTCTCCAGCCTCCAACTAACACAAGAGTCCTACCCTTGAGCCCCCCATCAACCAGCCAGAGTCACCTGTGAAGTACACACGAACCCTGCCAGGGCATGCCTAAGGACATCTGGGATTCCCTCAACTTGGTTGAGGGAGTGCAGGTGCCTTGCTAAGGACACAAGGCTCTCCAGATTTCCCAAGAAGAGGCCACTAAGGCCAAGGCAAGGAGTACACCCAGCAACCACCCAACTCACACAGGTTCACCCAGAGGCAGATCAGGGAGCAGGTGGGGTTGTCTCTGGTATTCCTCCCAACCATGGGCAAGCCCAACACTGCTACCCGACTCTCCCTGTCTGTAGAATCCTATCTGCCTTCCAGGCCCAACAACCCGTCCACAGAACACCCTGATCTCCGTGTTCTCCCTCTTCCTGATGCAGGCATGACCCAGCAAAGATGATGGAAAAGTCCAACATGCTCATCTTAGGACTGGTCACCAAGCCCCAGCTGGGAGGGTGATGTCCGGGCCTGCCCGACCCCTCAGCCCACCCTGAGTGGCACTCCATCAAAGGCCCCTCACAGAGCAGCAAAAGAGGTGTGGAAAGCTGAGCTGACCTGCAGAGGACAGGGTGGGGCTATGGGCCAACTGGGCACAATAGCCAGGTCTGGGGCAGCCACCCACATGGATCATTGAGCAGTGCCTCACCTGTGTGGATCTTGAAGCCTTCCAGGGGCACAGAGCTGGCCACAGTGCCGATGTGGGTCAGTGTGTCCTCAGGAATGCCAGTGGCCGGGCATGTCATGCTCTTGGGCTCCCCATCCACATTGAAAAAGCCTGCAGAGTAGACTCCACTGGCTACCTTCAGGCTAGAGATGGGTCCTCAGATTGCCCTGGTCATCAGCCCTTCTTCCTGGGACCGAGGGATCTACCCAGCGCTTGGACCTGAACCCAGTTCCCCTCTCCCCTGATCCCATCCTAAGGACCTATAGTAAAGGAACAGCCACAGCTACAGCTCCAACCTCTATCATACCCAATGTCCTCCCTTTGGGCCTGGGCTCCTTCCATTCCCTGGATCTGGGGTGACAGCTTACCTAGTCACCCCTATTCTAGCCCAGCTTTGCCAAGGAGGCAAGGATTTCCCATGGAAGCAGCAGCTGGGCCTGGAAGGCAGGTAGCAATATGCAGGCTGGGAGGATAGGGTGGGAGCTCCTGAGCACCCCCTGCCCCCCAGGGTCCTCTCTCCTTTGGTATCAACCCCACCTGGGTCAACTCCATCTTTCCAGGGAGCATCTAACTTCTCCCTCTCTCCTGTCCCTCCCTGACCTGGAGGAACTGACTGCTCATAGCCTCTGTGTCCCAGGGACAGAGCCAACAGCCTCTGGAGTGGGCAGTGACTGCTTGTGCCCACAGCCACCTCTAGTCATGGTGCCCATGGCAGCAGGGGAGGGTCAGAGACCACTCTGAGCCAAATGGTACTTGCTTACCTGGCCAGGGGGAGTCCAGCCAGTGCTTTATATCCAGGATCTTTTTGTCTTTGGATCTGCCATACGCCTCCTCACAGATGCGGTCATACTTGGCAATTTCCTCCTAAAAACAGGACAAAAGCAGTACCAACTTCTGTATGCCTTTGGTCCCCCTACCAACTTCAGTAATTTTCTCCCCACTAGTCTGCAGGGAACTCATGGCCAGGGGTCAAAGTCTCACAGTTTAAGGGGCTCCTGGTACCAGTTGGTATGATCAGCAAAAGGTTTGCAAGAAACACAGTGAAGATCATAGCCCTTGCTCTCAGAGTTCCCCAAAGGCGGGAGACAACATATCCCCAGATAACAAAGCCAACTTGAGCCACCTTCTACAGGAAGCTTTCCCTGACTCCTGCTTCAGTGGGACTTCCCTGCATCACAACATATTGGTGTACTGAATCCTCTGCACCCCTCCCCAGCAAAACGAGGGGTTCTTGGGGACAAGAACCATTGCATCAACTTCTTTCAATGCCTAATGCTCAGCACTGGGCTGATGCCAGCAGTCACCCCAGTGTTTCCCTTCTTTCTACCCCTAGGTGCCATCCAAGGCCTGTCCTAGGCATCCATGCTCACCTCGAACTCCTGAAGGGTGACCATGCCCTCAGCAATAAGCTTGTCTGCATACTTCTTCAGCACAGGTACCTGTCTGTGGATCTGCTTGTACATGAGCGGCTGTGTGAACATGGGCTCATCCATCTCATTGTGGCCACGCCGGCGGTAGCAGACCTGTAGGGGCAGCAGGGCAGCTGAGTCCCTGCCCAGACTATGTGACTATTCTACGACTGGCCCCACAGGGTGCCAAGCAGGGCACACCAATCCACCAACGGAGGTCCCAACCCCTAGTCTCTGCACACATTGCTCTTGGGGGCACTAAATCCTCCCTGTCCAAGAAGTGTTCCCAGAACTGACTGCTACAGATGCTGAGACCCACTTGGCCCCACTCTGTACGACAGGAACAGGCATCCATGCCCTTGCCTTGGCCTCCCCTAGACCCACCAGGTCCACGACAACATCTTTGTTAAAGGTGTTCCTCCACTCAGCTGCCACACTGCACACATATATCACCGCCTCTGGGTCATCCGCGTTCACGTGGAAGATGGGTGCATTGACCACGCGGGCCACGTCAGTAGGGTACGGTGAGGAGCGGGCCATTCGGGGGTCCGTAGTGAAGCCAATCTGAAGCAGGGAGAACTCCATTTATGCAGTGCTAGAGAAGCAGGTGTCTGGCCTGGATCCGAGTAGGTCTTTGCCAAAAGGTCCATCAGGTGTGCCCAGGTGGGACAGGGATAGTTATGGTGAATGGGCCACATTCAGAAACAGCAGCAGCTCCCATGGGGATCAGCCAAAAGCAGGGGAATCATGCCTGCTCTCTTTTTCCACAATCATATTTATGCAGTGGTAAGAGTCCATGGATAGTGCAAACGGTCAGTGTGCTCAGCTGCTAATCATGAGATCAGAGGCTTGCATATACCCAGGCATGCCTCAGAATAAAGGCCTGGAGATCTATTTCTGAAAAATCAGCAGTGAAAATCCTATGGAGCACAAGTCTGACACACACGGGGTTGTCATAAGTCAGTATCGACTCAATGGCAACTGGTTTAGTTAGGAACATGTTGTTGTTGTTGTTGTTATGTGCCCTCGAGTTGGACCCAACTCACAGCAACCTCTCCTTGGGTTTCTGAGGCAGTATCACTACGGAAGCAGATTGCCCAACCTTCCTTCCTTCCAAGGAGTGGCTGGTGGGTTTGAACCACCAGCCTTCTGGTTAGCAGTCAAGTGCCTTAGACACTACGCTACCAGAGCTCCTAGTTAGGAATGTAGGCCCTCATAAGTCCCACTCCCCCCAAGTTACTAACTACAATCTTGAGCTAGGTATTTAAATTCCCAAAGCCTCAGTTTCTTGTTCAATAAAAAAGGGTTGATTGAAATACCCAACTCACAGAATGCAAATAAAGTAGTTAACACAGGTTTTATAAGCTCACAAGAAGAGCCGTTATTAATCATGGCTACCTTAAACAAAGGCACTGAGACTGGGTAAAGCTGTAGAGACACACAGCAGATTAGTGGTTGTCAAAGGGAAAGGAGAGCAACTGCTTAATGGGTCTGGGGATTCCTTTTGGGGTGATAAAAATGCTTTGGAACTACCTAGAAGTGATGGTTTCAAACACTGTGAATGTACTAAATGCCACTGAATTATACATTTTTAAATGGTTAAGTTTATGTTATATAAATTTTGCCCCAATATAATAAACTAATGTAAGATAAAAAACAAAGTCACTATTATTGTTATCTTCTAAAACCAATTTGCTCATATAGATCTAAAAGTAACATCTAATTACATATCCATTCTCCTTGCTAGGGACTTCCTATACAGGTAAGGTATTCACTTCATCTTTATAATCTCTATGCTCTATGTATATAATGGGACCCAATTTCACACAGACCAGGAAACTGAGGCTGGGAAAATAAGGTGACTTGCCTGAGTTCACACACTGGGAAGTGGCAGAGCAGTGGAATTAGAACCAGGGTGGTCTCACTAAATGGCTACCTGGATTCCCAGGGATGGACATGCTGACCAGGCCAGTGTGGAGCCCTCCCCTCACCTGGTTGTTGACGACGACATGCACAGTGCCATTAGTGGTATAAGAAGGCAGGTCACTCAGGTGGAAGGTCTCGTAGACCACACCCTGGCCAGCGAAGGCAGCATCCCCGTGCACCAAAATGGACATGACCTGCAGGGCCAAGTTGTGAGCCAGGAGGAGTCACTTCATCCCAGTCTGTCTGCCCCAACCCTGCCCGTCCAGTGCTAAGTACTAGAGCCCAGATCCTGGAGTCCAGCACCTGTGGAAGCCCAGCCACCAGGGCCCAGCCTCTCATAGGCCAGGCTGAGCTCACCTTCTTGCCCTCTAAGTCTCCACGGTAGAACTGCTCAGCCTTCGTCTTTCCTTGCACTACGGGGTCCACAGCCTCCAAGTGGGAGGGGTTGGCCACAAGTGACAGAGTGATATTTCTGTTTGTGGCCCGATTGATCCTCTCGTGGTACATGCCCAGGTGATATTTGACGTCCCCAGAGCCCTAAAGGTTGAAGGCATGTGGATGGATGCTGGGACATTCCCACAATGCTCTAGGAAGGCTGCACCCTCCCTGATCCATACCCTCTTATGACCCAACTTTCCCATCACATTTCCCCTTATCACCCCTCCAGGAGGGTCTGAAAGAGGTTGGTTCCTCCTGGGCCCACATTACACCCCACTCCACCCACATCACACTCTATCTGAATTATCAACCACCGTTGTTTCAGCATTATCAACCACAAGTGCACCTAAGAAGGACAAAAGCAATGAGAGTTGTAAAGAGCCAGTAAGAAGGGCCCCAATTACAGTAAACACAAAAATAAAGAAAGGAAAGTGACTCACAATGGTGCTAAGACTCCTGACTGGACCTCTGGGAAAAAAAGGAAGCAGAATTCCTACCACACTCCTTACACCAAAGGAATTTCCAGATGGATCAAAAATGTGCCCATAAGATGAGTCCATCATAGTATTATGAAAAAATATGACAGACATGTTTTATGGAGTAGGGACAAGCTTCCTAACCCATATACAAAACCCAGCAACCATAAAAGATGCTGTTGTTAGTTGCCATCGAGTCAATTCCGACTCATGGTGACCCCATGCTACAGAGTAGAACTGTGCTCCATACGGTTTTCAAGGTCATGACCTTTCAGAAACAGATCACCAGGCTTGTCTTTCAAGGTATCTCTGGGGGGTTCAAGCCACCAATCTTTCGGCTAGTAGCTGAGTGCTTAACTGTTACTGTGAGAAGACAGCTAAATTTTAATAAATTTGTCATGGAGGAAGCAAATCCATACACAATGTTGGGGGTGGGGGGAGGATCAAGCTGAAAAAAGTACTTATAAAATAAATGCAGGCATGGGGCTAATTTGCTCAGCATATGAGGTACTTTTATAAATCAGTAAAATAAATGAGTAAAAGCCACAAAGAGGAACTTACAGAAAATATAACACAAAATGGCTTTAAAATATATGAAAAGATGTTCAATTGAACTGAAGACAAATTTTCACTGATCATACTGGCAAAAATGGAAAGACTGGCAGAAGCAATGAGGCTGTGGGGCCACAGACATCCTCACACACTGTCAGTTGGCTGAGGACTGGAAGGTAATTTCATCATACACTTGAGATCCAGAAACTGCAGCACTTCTCAGCCATCACTCACACCTGTGTGCAAGGATGCGCACTACTGTAGCCTTACTATCCATCTCTGAAGACAGTTAAGTCAATGACACACTCGGGTAGCTGCAAGAAGAACCCAGACAGCTCTATGTGGGCTTGTGTAAACAATGACAAACTACCAAGTGAAGGTGCCAGGCAGTGGCTCAGCACACTCCACAGCATCCCACAAACCAGGCTGCCTGGAATAAGTGTGTGTGTATGTGTGTGTTGCATGGGACATTTCTGGAAGCACATACCTAAACACAAACAAAAACTCACAAATAGAAACTGGTTGCCACAGGAGCCCTGGGAGCAAGAACAGGGTCTTCCAAGGGAAACTGACTCTCACTGTACTATCTTTTTTAAAGACAATGATCATATTTCTTTTTTGATTTAAAAAAAAAAAAATGTTAAGCTTTTCCTTTGACTAGACCTTACAGTTTACACACACTTACCATCTCCTTGATTCCTCACAACAATTCTGGGGGCAGCTGTTTTCATGCCCATTTTACAGAAGAGCAAACTGAAACTCAGAAAGGTAAAGTAGCTTGGGCAAAATGAACAGGATTATGGCAAGAGTCTGGGCTGGGAGCCCACAGGCAGGGCAGGGTCTCGTTCCAGCTCTGGAACAGTCATTTAATGTTAAGCCCCTGTGTTGGGCCCTGCCCTTGCCCTTCCACCATCCTGGAGGAAGAGACTGACAAACACACACACGCATATATGCATACACAGATGGCCATACACATGCACACGTGCACATGCAGGCACTGGACAAGGACAGAGTAGAAACAGTCAAAGGAAATGGGCAGGGCTTTGGAAAAGAAGAAAACAGAGGTGAGGAAAAGCAGTGTAAACTGAGGGCCCAGCATGGGCAAAGGCCTGGGGTGTGAAGCAGCAAGATGTGTATGTGACCCCAGATAGGACTGTGAGCAGAAAAATGTCTCCTCAGTTCTTCAAAGAGCATAGGAGACCCCCCAAGACAAAACAAATGAGTGAGGGGCAGTGGACAGAACTTTGGGCACAATGGTAGGACCATGTTTGCTGTGCTAAAGAAGTTAGGCCAGCTGCTGCAGCTCTGGGCCTCAATCTCCCCAACTATGCAGCTGATCCAGGTATCTGAAAACCCCTCAGCTATCAGACTATAGTACCTGTACCAAAGGGTCCTACCGGCCGCACACAAGCATCCCCACCCTCCCACCCACTCCTCTGCATGTCTGTCTATTTTAAGGTCTGTCTGAGCTTGGCTATCCCTGTGCTCCGGACACAGTACCTTCCCAGCCCCCTCCTGCCCTTCCTGAACACCCTCCTTTCCAGGGGTTCCGAGACATGGGCTTGGCACCTACCTCATCTGCTGCCTCCAGCTTGGGGTCAAACTGGCAGAAGATCTGCTCCAGGTCCTTGCGGATCACATTGGCCAGCACGTTCAGCCTGCCCCTGGGGCCAGAGGGGCTGTGGTCTCACCAGGCACAGAGGCCGCCTCCTCTCACTGGCCCAGCATCACCACCCCCACTCAGGCAGACACCAATCTGCACATCTCAGACCCAGGCAGGTGAGCCAGGTCCTCACAGAAAGGAAGTAATTCACCTCACCCCCAAGTGTAGCACAAAACCTCAGCTTTCCTCATCCTAATCTGGCAATGTATCACAGCTGCCCAACACACCCCCTGCCCCTGACCCCCACCCAGTTGTTATCTTGGAGCAAGATATGGGAAAGGGGATTCAACTAATCCTACGAGTACTGTCTTTGGCACTGAAATCTGGGATGCTCAGAAAGGCATCCAGGGACTCAGAATTCTCCAGTCTAGTCTGAAGGTCTCATCACAGGGCACTGTACCCAGAAGTAGGCACCAGTCCAATGGGGGGAGGGCAGCAGAAGACACAGAACACACCCTCCCCGCAGCAGACATCAGCACTAGGCCTATATAGAACACTGGCCAACCTCCAGTTTGCCTGGCCCTGCAGTAGAACAGAGGTTCTCCTATAGGTGGGCCTCACTCCTGTTCCATGGGGGCAGGACTTGGGGGCTACCAGGAGCCCTAAGGACAACCTCAGCCCCTTTGGGAAAAGACCTCTAGCCTCCAAGTCCCCTGCCCTACTGTGGAGGCCTGACCTGGCCTGAAACAACCCCTTACCCTCCTAGACCCCTCCTTATGCTGAGTGCCTGCCCAATGGACATTGCACAGGCCCAGATTCTACCTGTGACCACCAGGACCATCCCACTCCCCCAGTCCCTAGATCTGAAACCATGTGAGTCCGTTCTGTCCCAAATCCCCAGGGTAGCTCTGCTTGACCTCTCTGACCAGATACTGGGTGTTTCTGGGCCCTCGGAGCAAGGAGCCTATGACAGACAGAACCCCATGTTTCCAGTGGCCCAGCCCACAGGACAGGGCACTCAGCACCTCAGCTCTGGGTACCACTCATGCCAACATGGACCCAGGATGGCCCACTGCAACTAGTGCCTAAGTCTCTACCTCAGTCCCAGGAGGCTTTGTCACCAAAGGTCTGCTGCTCATATCCTCACATACCTTCAAACAGCAGGACTCTGACCACCATGGTCTCTAGCCTCCCCACTGGCCCTCAGGCTTCAACTCTAAGGAGTGAGACTTCCAAGTCCTCATCACAGTCCTGTTAAATGTGTGATCAATCTCACAGGAGGACAGAATCCCTGGGCTCTTAACTCCAAAGGCCTCACTCAGCTCTGAGTCACCTGCCCTTCCACACATCTCCTTGTCTACAGGAACCCCAAAAGGCACAAAAAAAAAAAAACCTTTCTGAAATTCTGCCCCTTTGGGGTTTATGGCAACGTGGAAGGAAGGGGCATGAGTCTCAGATAACCCAGTTATCCCTGGATCTGTATGCTGGCCACATGCCAGCCTTTCTGTGATGGGCAAGCCAGGGCCCAGGGACTCAGAATTTTCCACGCCATCCACTACTACCCCCAGGTCCCACCAATAGCCCCTACTTTGACTTCTCTCTCTCTCTTTTCCACCTCAGCCCTATGGGCCTAGAGAAGACTAGGAAAGGCTGACGGAGGGAAGGGGAGTAAGGCTCACCTATGGGGCATCCCCAGGATGACATTCTCAATCCCCATCTCACTGGATTTATCGATGATAGTCTTGAGGGCAGGAATCATGACCTCACAGCCCTCCAGACCAAACCGCTTCTCTGAGGACCACTTGCGCGCCAGGAAGTCTTCGAATCTGTGTTGGGGGAGAGAGCAAGGAAAGGCTGGGACCCACAGAGGTTGTTCATGAGGTAGGTTGCTGATGTCTGGGAGAGGATGTTGAAAAGTCACCTTCTTCTGCAAAGTCTAGGACCTTCCACAGATACCATATTGCACACCCAGCAAGAGGCACAGGGTGTCCTCTTAACATAGGGTCCCCAGCTTAACCAAAGGCCTCTGCGTGCAAACCCCACAATCCTTCCCAACTATCCCTCCCTCTTGCTTCGCAAACTTCTCCAAGGATTCAACACCATGGGATGCCTTTCATGCCCCCACCCCAAACTTGAAAAGGCACTCTTGCAAAAGCCCCAAGAGCTTCATGCTGCTGAATTTGGATTTTAGCCTACCCTTCACTTCTTAGGAGCTCTAGTGGTGTAATGCCTAAGGAATTTGTCTGCTAACCAGAAGGCTGGCAGTTCAAACCCACCAGCCACTCCTCAGAAGGAAGATTGGGCAATCTACTTCTGTAGCGATACCGCCTCAGAAACCCAAGGAGGGGTCGCTATGAGTCGGAAATGAGTCAATGACAGTGAGGTTAAGTTCACTTCTTAGGGAGCTGTCTTTGCAATTGGAGGCAGGCTGGGGGCTCCTTCAAGCCGTTGCAGCCCTGGGCACATGCAGCTTCAGAAAAGGCTGATGGGCAGAGCCAGCCAGCTCCCCATCCACTGTAGGATGCTGCTGCACACATTCCCACCCAGGGCTGTATTTCTGCCCACACATTCCTGTCTCCTTTACCCTTGTTCAAGGTGTATACTGAGTCTCTCATGGTCCCTGATGTCACAGTATCCTGGAGTCCAACCCCACCCTCCTGCCCAGCTCTGCCTGAGGTAACTCTTTTCCAAATTTGCCAAGTACCTGGTACCCATGCCCTTCCCAAGGCCCTCATGCCAAAGGCACAGCTGCTCCAATACTGCCTTTCCCTAGCGGACCCTGGGGTCTCCCTGTGGTTGTCCATGTGTCCAGGGGCTGACCTCATGGAGTGCACCAGCCGGGCCAGCAGGGTCCGCTTCTCCTCACTGGAGAACTGCATGACACCAGGAGTCTCAAACTTCTGCCGGATCCACTGGCACTGCTCCACATCATTGATGAACATGAATTCCAGGCCAATGTGCTGGCAGTAGGTGCTCTGGGAAAACAGATGGGGACTCCAAGAGGAGCAGGAAGAGGCACAAGGGCCCTGGAATCTGGAACAGAAAAGGTGGCACCCGCCCTCCCTTGGTCTGGCTCTGGGAGCTCCCTGAAATGGAGCCTGACAAGCCTGCCTGGGCTCACCTCTAGGCGCCGAATGATCTCCCGCAGAGACAGGGTGTTTTCTGAGCCCCCAATGAAAGTGGTCGTAGGTAGCTGGAACTCTTTATCTAAGTCAGCTTCTCGCAGGTCGTAGAAGGCTAGAAAGAGGCATGGCAGAGCCCCAGACAGCAGAGAGAAGGAAAGCATGAGATCAGAACTCATGTCCCAACAGTATCCCCAGATCTCCTTAACAGCCTCCCCAGCACCCTCCCTCCAGGTCCCACAAGAAGCTCAAGGACCCTCTGTCAGCAGGGACAATCAGAGACGAGAAGGGGGCCTGCACTTACACTTCCCAAGAACGATCTCCCAGCTCAGCAAGATTTCAGGTGAGACATCCCTCTCAGGGACACCACGCAGTGGTGGGCAAGGATCACAAAGGAGCCAGTGTGCTGGTCTCTGGGCCTCACAGACCCAGAGACACTGGCTCAGTCTGCCCTCCAGAGTCCAAGAGCCCCTACCTCAGGCCATATGTACCAGTTCTAAGGACGCTCACCCAACTTGTCGATGGTTGTGATTAAATCTGAGGGCACGAAGGAGTCCAGGTCTGCATCCAGAATTCCTAAGGGGTCCAGCTGGGCCACATGGTGGCCCCGGATCTGGGAGGAAAGGGAAAAAGCCAGAACTGGGAGTCTCACCAGTGAATGAAATGGAGTAATAGAGGAAACAAGATTAGCTATGGATTGATGGATGTGGGGGTTCACTAGGATCCCACCTTTAAAATGTTTAAAACTGTCCATTAATAATATTTTGCGTTTTTCCCAGCACAGCGTATAGCTGAGTCCAACCAGAACTCTGCCTCCCATAGCCTTGGGAGGAAAAGCAGGCCCAGTAAAAGATCCCCCCAAGTCACTACAACAGGCTGGAGCCAGTAGCTGCATTTTTCTTCCACCTTCGGCAGATGTTTACCTGGCAAATGTTGAGTAACACCCCAAAATGCAGAGACTACTGTGCTGAGAGGACTCTAGTGCTTGGTCATGGCTGGGTAAAGACAGACAAGGTGAAGAGCTGGGAACTATGCTTAGAAGAGAAGGCCTCCGGGCAGCACTCAAATGTTAAACCAGTTGCCATCAAGAGGATTCAGACTCATGGTGACCCTATGTGTGTCAGAGTAGAACTGTGCTCCACAGGGTTTTCAGTGGCTAATTTTTCAGAAGTAGACCTCCAGGCCTTTCTTCTGAGGCACACTAGGTGGATTGGAACCACCAATCTTTCAGTTAGCAGCTGGGTGAATTAACCACTTCATCCACCCAGAAACTCCACTCAAATGTTACTCTGTATTTAATATATTATTGTTAGTTGTCATCAAGTTGGCTCCAATTGCATGGTGACCTCATGTATGAAAGAACAAAATGCCTCCTGATTTGTGCCATCTGCATGATCACTGGTATATTTGAGTCCATTTTTGTGTCTTTTGAGTGCTTTCCAACCTAGGAGATTCATCTTGCAGCATGAAATCAGGCAATATTCTTTGTGTTCCATAAGGTATTATTAGCTAATTTTTAGAAGTAAATTGCCAAACCTTTCTTCCTAGTCTTAGTCTGGACATTCCACTGAAACCTGTCCAACATGGGTGACCCTGCTGGCATTTGAAATACTGGTGGCTGTATGCTTCCAGCATCACAGCAACAAGCCAGCCACCACAGTACAACTTGCTTAATATACAGTTTTATATTTCTTGTTCTTCCTTTTCAACATCAATGGTTAGATCACTTTCTGTTTCTTTTAATCAGCCAGAAAAACACAATGACAAGTCCCCAATACATTAAGTACTCAGCCAGTGAGAGACCAGCTCTGCTCTCTTCCTTCCTCCATCCACAATGCCTTTCACACTGGTGGTGCCCAGGGCACACAGCTGTCCTCTCACACACAAAGCCCGCCTCACTCAGGCAAGGCATCCTTGCCATTCCATTTGCTAATGCTGCTCCCCAGCCCAGCTCACCACCACTCCTGCAGCAGCTTGCTGCACCTTCCCATGGAGTCTGCCAAGGGCCCTTACTATTCCCTCTGTATGACAAATCTCCCTGATGAAACATCTTCTACCAGTGGTTCCCAGAAAGATCCCAAATGATTACACTTATTGTGGAGTGAACACTCAGAACAGCTCTCTAATTAGTGCTGTTCAGTCAAGACCAAGAATACAAACATCATGAAGAATCTTTTCAAGAGCAGGGGCCCAGTTGGGGACCCACCATGGAAGAGCTCAAGTCTCCAGATGAAAGCAATATGTGGTGGGACAGTAGTGTTCATCCCATAAGCACTAATTAAGTCCTTGCTGTATACCAGTCCCTGTCCTGTTGGAATGCATAGTCCAGAGGCAAGAATAAACATTACTAGGGTCAATCTATTCAATGTTCATTCAACACACATTTTTAGAAAGTAATACTAAGTGCTCTCAAGGATACAGTGAGGTTGCAGCTAAAGTCCCTGCTCTTTTTTTTCTTTCTTTCTTTTTTTTTTTTTTTTAATTGTGATTTGGGTGAAGATTTACAGAGCAAATTCACTCTCCATACAGCAGTTCACATACACTTTGTCTCATGACATTGACCACAGTTTACCACAATGCAACAGCTCCCCTCCTATTTCCTCCCCATAGTTACCTCTTTCCAGTGTCCATCCCTCCATGCACTCCTGTCCCCTGAGCTATCTCCCTGTGCATAAGCAGCCCTTCTTTCTCCTATGATTGTTCTCTCCAAGGAGTATATCTCCCTGAGGCAAATGTTCAACTCATATACCTGTCTTTTGTTTGGCTGAAAACCACAGGTGTGAGTTGAATTCCAGACCTGAAGGGCAGCTAGGGGCCATAGACTCAGTGGTTCCACCAGGCTCTATCGAACCAGCAAACCTGGTCCCTCCCCCCTTTTTTTTTCTCCAAATGATTTTGAGTTGTGTTCCACATTGTTCTCCCTCTCTATCAAGGATCTCCTACTAAAGTCCCTGCTCTTATGGATCAGACATTTTATGAAGAGGACCACAACAAACAAATCAGCACACACAAAAGTATCAGGGAACGGTGAGTGCTATCAATGGAAATGTGACAAAGCGTGGGTGGGGAAACAGGTACCATGTGACAGACAACTTAGAGTGCTCTCTAAGCAGGTGACATTCCAGCTAAATGAGAGCCCACCCCATTAACCCCAGGCCATGCCCCAGGAACCAGCCCTGCCTCCCAGCCCTGCACCTTCAATGCCCCTACCTGGTAGGCCCGTATCAGGGATTGCACTGCCAGGTGATCCTCTACCAGCTTGCTGGTCTTGGTCCTGTTTGAAAGTGCCGGTCTGCTCTCAGGGACAACAGATGGGGGTTGTGGCTGCATCAGGCCAGAAGAGGCCTCCTCGTTGGCTTTCCGGAAGAAGCTATCCCAGGACTGGACAGGGGCAGAAGCAAGAAGACAGCCAGGTCAGGGCCTGGGAGGAGTTAGCATGGCCCAGACTGAGCCCTGGGGGGCACTGGGTGTTCCATAGTTTCCACAGCTCTCAGGGCCTTTCTGATACCTTGCTGAAATGTCCTCTCACAACTAGACCAGGCCTCCTCCTCTTCAGAGACTAGATCTCCCACAACCAGCTTTGGAGGAAGGGGCTAGAGTTGTGATAAGTGGTTGCTCAGGTAGAAGGAGTTTCTAGCCTGGGGGAAAGCATTCCCTCACACACCATGGGTTAAGCCTTTGCAGAGACCAATTTGGTAGACAGTCCCTCCACATTTAAAATGCATTTAGAACCAGCAATTCCACTGCTAGACATTTACTCTATAGGTATGCTTGTAGATGCATGCCTCTCCAGACTCCCTGCCATCAAGTTGACTGAGAGTCATGTTGTTGTTTATTGTTATATGCCATCGAGTTGGACCCAACTCATAGCGATCCCTCCTTGGGTTTCCAAGGCAGTATCACTACGGAAGTAGATTGCCTCATCTTCCTTCTGAGGAGTGGCTGGTGGGTTTGAACCGCCAGCCTTCTGGTTAGCAGTCAAGTGCCTTAGGCACTACTCTGAGAGTCATAGCAACCCTTATTGGGTTTCCAAGGGTATGAATCTTTATGGAAGATATGGTACATCTTTCTTCTGCAGAGTGGCTGGTGGGTTCAAACCACCAATCTTTCAGTCAGCAATGAAACGCCTTAACCACTATACCACCAGAGCATGTGCATTCTGTTGTTGTTGCTGTTAGGTGCCATCAAGTTGACTCCAATTCATAGCAACCCTATGTACAACAGAATGAAACACTGCCCAGTCCTGTATAGCCTCACAAACCTAGATGTATGTAAAAGAATAAGGGGGGGAAGGCAGTAGCCCAGAGTTATGTTTACAGCCCCTGAGACTATGGCCCTTAGACACCCTTCAAGCCTGGAACTGAACTCAATCCCATGGCTCAACTTTCAACCAAATAATAGACAGGCCTATAAGGTGAACAATAACACCTGAGAGTTATGCACTCCTTAGAGCAATCAACCATATGAGATCAAAAGGGCACCATTTGCCCAGGAATAAAGCTCAGAAAGCAGGAAGGGATAGGAAAGAAGAAAAAATGGAAATGGTAAAAACAGGGAAAAAAGTGGGAAGAGTGGTGTTACATTGTGGGAATTGTAATCAATGTCACAAAATAAAATGTGTATGGATTGTTGAATGTAAAACAGTTTGCTCTGAATTTTCACCCAAATCATGATAAAAAGTTTAAAAAAAAAAAAAAAGAATGTTCCCTACAGGACTGTTGATTAGAATAAAAATGTAAAAATACCTAAATGGTGGTCATCAATAGGAAACCGATTAAATAAATGATTGTATATTTAGAATCTAAAAACTATGCAGCCTTTAAGGAAATAAGATGCATTTATTATTATCATGAAAGGGACCACAACAAACAAATCAGTGCACACAAAAGTATCAGGGAATAGTGAGTGCTATCAATGGAAATGTGACAAAGAGTGGGTGGAGAAACAGGTACCATGTGACAGACAACTCAGAGGGCTCTCTTAGCAGGTGACATTCCAGCTGAATGAGAGCCCACTTCCATTAACATGGAAGATCACCAGGGTATGTCATAAACTGAACCAAGCAGAAGAACATGTGCTTTCCCACTATGTGTGTAGAATCAAAAACTAGACACATATAGTCATAGCAGAACACATATGAAGGTAACCCACACACACACATTCTCATACAGTACTGGTGGGACACTAAACTGGCTCAACCTCAGGTGAGAGAAATTTGGAATACCTATTAAAATTAAAGATTCAAATAAGTTTGACTCAACAATTACATGTGGGGAATTTATCCTACAGACAGCTGCACACATGTAAGGTGACATACCCCCAGGCTTATTTGTTGCAGCACTGTTCAGAATCTCCAGAACTGGAAGCAAACCAAATGTCCATCAGTGGGGACTGTTAAATGAATGACGACGCAGACAAATAATGGAATACAAGGCGGAGGGGTTGGGGAGAACAATGAAGCTCTTTATGTGATGATGTGGGAGAAGACCTTGGAGGTAGATTGCTAAGTGATAAAAGCAAGGAGCAAACTGTGCATGACCTGCTACTTTTGTATAAGGGGGGGAAGGCAGTGTCCCAGAGTTATGTTTATAATCAAGTTTGCATAAAGGAGCTCTCTGAAAGGGCACAGAAGAAAGTATAAATTGGGGAGGGTGGAAACTGAGCAACTGGAGGACAACTTGTTGCTGTAGAACTTTTCATGCTCGCTGGTGTTGGATCATGTGATGTGTTCCATTCCTGGGGGTGGTGGGGTGCAGTCAGTGAAATGGAGGAAGAAAAACTTCACTTTCCATGTTTTGCCCTGCCATCTGACTTTAAAAAAAAAAAAAAACAGCAGGTATTTGTTTTGTCAGATCAGTACATACATAAATCCTTGTACCCCTACACACTTGTAAGGGGCCATCTGGAGATGGCACATCAGGACTAAGGGGCAGGGTTCATGCTCAGGTCCAGGGCATGATCAGGCTTCTCAGGCAAGTACAGCATCAGAAAAGCTACAGGCTCTCCTGGGTGACTGAGGACCTGGGAAGCAGAGAAGCCCCTCACCCATGGCAGACAAGCTATTTCCCCTACTCTCCTTCCACCTGCAGCTGGACCTAGGGATTCCCACCCCCCCAGACAGTGGGGAGGATGAGCAAGGGACTGACCTTGTGGACACTCTGGGGGTTTTCCAGCCACGCAAAGTACATCTCCTCAATGTAACTGGAGCTGCTTCCACTTCTGCTGTTGGGGAGGGTAGTTGGGGGCCCAGAGGACCTGAGCTGCCAGCTGACCACCTGGACATCATGTGGGACCAGGAGCCTTATGGCCTGTGCACCAAGCCGGGATGCCAGCAGCCGCAGTGGACTCATTCTGGACACAGCAACAAGGAGGGAGGCACACATCACAGGAATTAACATTGCCGAGCCCAAGGAGAAGGAGACCCTAACAGCTGGCATTCCTCAGTGCTACCGGGAGTGGGGCTGGGCTAGGAGGGACAAGCTAAAGATGAATAGGACACTCTCCCAGCCCTCCAGAGATCACTGGCTAATGACTGCTTAGCGGTCAATCAGTGCTGCCGTATTCACCTCCCACAGCCATCTAAGCACTAAGGCATCCTATCAAGTGCCCAGCACACACTGGCAGCAGTAAGTGCATGTTCCCTTGACTCTGAGTTTTCACAGTTACAAGCACATGGCACTGCTAGGTCTCCAGTCACAGTGACCGATGGCTCCCTCTTATTGCAGCACTGGACTTGTGTTCCCTCTCTCCCAGGAGGCTGGTGATACAGGCCTCAACAGCCCCACTCCACAAAAGTAGTACCACAGCTTTGAGAGGTGAAGGTCTCTGAGAGGCTGGAGCTACCCCTCTGGCTCCTGTACCCCGCTCAGAGCTCACATGCAGGCCCAAGGTCACTCAGGCAGCTAACAGCCCAAGGAGGCAAGGACAGGCTAGAAGTCCACTCAAGCTGGTGAGGAATGAGAACCTGGAGATCATCTCATTCCCCATGCACCATTTGTCACCTGCTTTCTCCAAGGAAAATTCCAGAATAATGGGCTCCCCCAGAAAACAGGAGTTCTAGGACAGCCCCTTCTCCGATCCTAGCCTCCAGGGCTCCTGATCCAAGCAGTCTGGGGTTGATAAAGACCTTTGAGTCCCCTGCTATCCCCAGATCCTCTCCATTTCATCTCACACAGGATACATATGAAGTGTGGCCTCTGCTCCCTCACCCTCACCCCCACCTCATAACTGAGCTCTGAAAAGGCACATTTCCCCTTTCCCTAGCCCACAGAAGAGCTTCCCTGGAATACCCAGGCCTGTGAGGGATACAAGGCCAGAGCCACCTACCAGGGACCCCATAAGCAGAAGGTCCCTGCTCTCCCTTATACACCCCAGTCCCAGAAAACATGCACTCTGGGTTATAACTAGCTCCCAAGCCCTGCCCTTGGGGTAGGTATATTCACCCAACAAGGCCCTCTCCCCCATCAGCTCACTTGTCAACAAGAACCTGGCCAGCTGGCCCTTCACTAAGGGTCAGGCTCCAGAGGCCAGGCAGGGCAGAATCCTCTCAGCCCACTTCCTTTCTCCCTCCCTCCCTCTCTTTCTCCCTCTGAACTCACTTGAGGCAGAAGGAAGGGAGATGGTCTCATCAATCAAGGGAGCAGGGGCTACTGATCAAGAGCAGGTCTGAAGAGAGAACAATTAAAAAACAAAAATATATTCCACTGCAGGAAGGCATTGGGCTCAGCTGGAACCTGAGCCCCGAGCACCCCTCAAGCTTTCTTCCCATATGCCTGGCCTCTGGGCCTCTGACTGCCTATCCAGCACCACCAGCCAGGAGTGCTAGGCTAGGGGTTGGTTCATGCTGGACAGTACCTTTTCAAGCACCAGGAGGCTGGGGCTTGGGCTGGGGTCAGGCTGCCAGGGTTTCAACCACTCTTAGGACTCTAACTACCCCACCCAGCTGGCCACCATACTCAGGAGCTATTGGCTTGGAGCATCAAAATCTACACAACAAACCTGTTCTTCAGTTGCCCAGATACAGAGAGCTATTCACATGGGAATAAGAATAAGAGCACACAGTTAGTGAACACTGATTCTTAGGCAGACATTATGTTCATTTAATCCTCTCAAAAATCCTATGAGCTGGCCATTTGCATTAGCCCCACTTTATGAACAGGTTAACTGAGGCACAGAGAAGCTAAGGCATCTGTCCCTGGCTAGTTTGTGATGGAATTCAATGTGGTTCCAGAGCCTGTGTCCTCCTTGCTGCAGGGTCCAGACATAAACTCGAACTCCAGTTCACTCTAGTGCACTTTCTACCAGCTACAGCCAGAGCCACACCCTTTGCTGTCACCCACCACCACCCTCACAGGGGAATGGACAGCTCAGGCCAGGACAAGGACAAAACCTGGCTCTGTCCAGCCTGGCCCAGTACAGGAACACTGTGTTTTACAAACACTGGACAGTGCTGGGCAGCCACTGAACACTGTTATGGACTTCACCCAGGCTGGCAGGAAGGCAGCCAGCCAGCCACCCCACCCCCATCCCAGCAGAAGCCTGAGGACCCAGGTGACCTGGAGTGCTGGGGACAAATCAGATCTCAGTATCTTGAGTTAGAAACCCAGTCAGCTCTGCTAGGCCCTGCTCACACAGGCCAAGGCAGCAAGGAAGTGCCCCTCACCTCCAGTTCAGTCCCCAGCACAGTACCAGTTGCTCTGGGCAATCTCCTCTCTAGGGACAAGGTCATGCACAGTGTCCAGAACCAAACTGCAGGAAGTTCCTGGCCACTAAACCTCTGGCTTGATCTGAGCTGTCCTGGGGAGGACTGCTTTGTAATGCTCCCGTTTTAAAGATCAGTCAACAGAGGTTAGGCAAGGGTAGAGGGTAAGGATCTTTCTCAAGACCTGGAGGCTGGGTAGCAGCAGAGCCCGGACTACTTCTGCATATCTCCTCTGGCCTTATGTTTTGAGATTTGGGTGGGCTCTACTAAGGAGTAAACTCCAACTCTGGTTCGTTGAACCAAAGTGAAGGTAGGGGGCAGGACAGGGACCCAGGGGGCAGGACAAGGAGGATGTACGTTTACAAGAGACACAGCAGAGAGGGAGGGCCTGAGTAAAAGCTCTGAAAAACCTACTGCCATCGAGTGGATTCCAGTTCATACCGGCCCTATAGGAGAGTAGAACTGCACCCTTGGGTTTCCAAAGCTATAAATCTTTATAGAAACAGACTGTTTTATCTTTCTCCGAAGGAGTGGCTGGTGGACTTAAACCTCAGATCTTTCAGTAAGCAGCCGATCCTTTAACCAGGGCCACCAGGGCCCCTTTGAGCAAAAGCCCAGAGGTGGGAAAATTACAAAAGTGGATTAAACCAGTTCCAAGGCACCACAGTAGGGGCAGGAGTGGCTGCAAAAGCCAGCTTGGGGCCCGTGGGGTCACATTAATGCACAGTGTGTCCTGCTGAAGCCTAGATATTTCCCCAACCCCACTATCTCCTGGGTATGGGGGAAGCACTTTCTTCGCTGGGTATCCCAGCTTCTCTGGGCCACTGTCCTCATCTGTGAGCTGAGAGGGTGGTTAAAACCGGCTAGCGTAGTGCCTAAGGCACTTGACTGCTAACCAGAAGGCTGGCGGTTCAAACCCACCAACCACTCCTCGGAAGGAAGATGGGGCAATCTATTTCTATATTGATACTGCCTCGGAAACCCAAGGAGGGGTCTCTATGAGTCGGGTCCGACTCGACGGCACATAACAACAACATAAGAGCCCTGCTCCCAATGAGGTGCTGAGACTTCTTCCAGGCTGCCTGGGTGTCCAGCTCCGAGGATCACGTGGTGGCCGGACCCTCCCTCATGCCCAGCGCGGCTCTCCGCAGCCATGGGCCCCTTTGAAAGGTCGAAGACCAGCAGACCCTCCCAAGCCACGACATGCAGTGTGAAAAGTCTATGCAGCCTGCGGGCTGGAGGAAATCCCACTGAAGCCTGAAATCCCACCGTTAGTTCGTCACTCCTTTATGGAAAACACTGCACTCTCCAGCTAAGACCCAAGGGGAAGGGCTCGGGGTCTTTGGCGAGGCCACTGCCAGCCAAGGGCGGAGCCAAGGTCACGCTCCCTCCCCCACCCCCGCAGCGCGGCCCGGCTCCGCACCTGCGGGCAGCAGCGCTCCAGAACTGGTGAGAATGCAGCGTAGGGGCCCGACCCCCAAGTCACCCGAGAGGGGAGGCGCGGGGGCCCGGAGGGGCGGGGCCGCCGCGCTCACCGGGCCAGGAGGGAGTCGGTGCGACCGCGCGTTCCGAAGCTGCAGGGCAGGGGGCTGCGCAGAGGCAGTTCGCGGCGCGCAGTCACCTTTACCTGGGTCACGTGGCACAGCCGCCTCCGCCGCAGACTGCAAACGCGCACCTCGGAGTCCCAGCGCGTAGTGGCGTCACCATCCCCGCCCCCATTTGGCGCTGTCCTTGGTGCTGAGGGCCCAGGCCCGAATCCTCCTGGGGTTGGAGGAGTGAAGTGAAGATCCCAGAGACCACCAGGCGGGGCCGAGTCCCTTACTGACTGGGTGACCTGACACACTGCTGAACTTCTGAAGTCCAGTATCCACGTCAGAAAACTAAGAGACTCTAGCAGGAAAATAAGCAGCCGTCTTTATGTAAAAAAGACAGTTTCCGTTTTAACATCTGTAAAATAGAAAACCCATTGCGGTGGTTATGGAAAAATTACATTGATTGAGGGTAGGATTGTACAGATGATTATTATACTTGCTGTAAGTTGTACACTTGGGTTTTTTTTTTCAAATTTTTTTTAAAAATTAGCTGCTGAGCCTGCTTATGTATGAGCAAAAACCTCACGGAATTTGGCTCCTTGGTTTGGAAGCCTAAGGTCATGGTTTCCCAGTCAATATGTCAACAATATATTTAATGCTTCTGTTCTACCTCCTAGTTCATTGTGTAATGCCTGGAGTTTTAAGAGCTTGCAAGCAGCCGTCCAAAGCACGACAATTGGTCTCTATTCAACTGAAGCAACAGAGGAAGAAAAAAGGGGGGGATATGTGGAATGTGTGACTAATTGCCTCCATGAAAAACTGCCTCCATTGCCATGAGACTAGAAGACTTGGATGGTGCCCGGCTACTATTACAGAACATTTTGATTGAAGATACTATGGGAGAATCCTGATCAAAAGGGGGAAAGAGCAGAATAGAATTTCAAATTCTCATGGACTCTACATATGCTGGAGCCATGGGAGGTGGATGAACCCCTGACACTATTTCCCTGAGATAATCGTTAAACCAAAAACATCCCCTGAAGTCTTCTTGAAACCTAACAATGGTTTAGCTTAACTAGTAAAATAAATAGGAGCTCTGGTAGCATAGTGCCTAAGGCACTTGACTGCTAACCAGAAGGCTGGCGGTTCAA